ATGCTTGACCTAGGGATCAAACATGAAGAAGGATACTCATTTTCAAGTTTTAACTTTGTTTTTTAGGGGAGGTTTGGCCTGGGCCTTGTGTTTTCCCTGACTTCACACTGTCTAAAACTCATTAATGGTGGGCTAGTTTAGTGAAAGATTTCATTTCTAATGGTGTTGATGGGATTTGGAATGATATGAATGAACCAGCTATTTTTAAGGTGATGCTTAGAACTTTTCCTCCCTTGCTTGCATATTTTTTAATTTGTTCATGGTCTTAGCATGTTTCTTCACAGACTGTAACAAAGACGATGCCTGAGACTAACGTGGATCGTGGAGATATTGAACTTGGAGGTTGTCAAAATCACTCGCATTATCACAATGTATTATCCACAGCTCTATTCTTATGCTTTACATTTTACACTTTTATAAAGATCTTCACCCCTATCTTATGGTTGTGTACTAAAGTGAAATTAAACACCTGCAGGAATGAGACCTATATTTATCTAATTGTGTCTAGTACTTGTGTTTGGGAGGTTAATAAAATCTCTTATTGTTAATCTTCCTTTGCTTATCACTTGATTCGTTTGGTCTTCCATTAGTGTCTTTATTTTTTTTTAATTCAAGGAAGTTTTAAAACAAGACATTGAACCCCACAAGTGTCAAGAGATTTCTTTGTTGAGAAAGAATAATGCTCCACATACCCAGATTGCTTAAAGTTGTATGGGAGAGAATTAGGTTTCTATTTTAAGTTAAACATGCTATCATGTTGAGCTTTTTGAATATGAGACATTGCGCCAATGAAAATTAATTTTGATTCAGGGGCTCAGTGATCAGCCGCTTTCAGGACCAGATATTGGTGGGTTTGAAGGGAATGCAACACCTAAGCTGTTTGGAAGGTGGATGGGATTGGGTGCAATGTTTCCTTTTTGTCGTGGACATTCAGACGCTGGCACCATTGACCACAAGCCTTGGGTCTTTTGGGGAAGAGGTTTGTCCATACTTCACAGTGACAATTAACAATTTTACTGCTTTTGAACTTTGTGATTTGGGTTCAAATGTTTATTCAACTGATGTTTGTAATCAGTTCTACAGAAAAACTAATAGCGATTGTGGATAACATAAGCTTTGGTAGGAGGCTAGGAGCTTCACTTGAATGAACTAAGATGCTAAAATATGCATGTTTATGGTTAAAAAGTTCATAGTGCTTCCTTCTCTTTCTATATAGGATTTACAAAGTATTTCAAAGAAATTGTTCACTTTCTGGTATTACGTGAATTTACTGTGAATAGCTTGGCGCATTTGAAATTTCCAAGGAAGGGTCTTTAGTATCCTTCTTGAGCCATTTGAAAGGGTCTTTCACAAAATGACCAAAATATCCCTTGGATAGGCCAAATTTTGTGCTAAAAGAAGAGTAGGTGATTTTGAAAGTTAGGACAGGTGGTATTCTTTTAAGAGCTTTAAAAGAAGTACAAATAAAACTATGTGCATGCAATGTATACATGAAAACAAAAACAAAAGGTGAACTATACAAAATTGTCATTTTCCTAGAAGGTTCTCCTAGGAAAACTTCTAATGGATAATTGCCATGCCTCTCACCACATTCACTCCTGGACAATTTTTCGTTTTTCTAGAAGGTTCTCCTAGGTTAATTTGGTTTTCTGTTATGCTACTCGATGTTGACAAGGGAATCAAACTGCAGATTTTTGGCTACAATGACTTGTGACATTAGAAGTGCAATTCGTACGACATCCCTCATGTTCTGAATGAAATTACTAGTTTGTATGACGTCCTTAAGTTTTGTTCCTTCCGACTGGAAAATGTAAGTTTGTTTGATGTTTCTAGATATCTATGTGCCTTTTGTACTTCTGTTTATTTATTTGACCGCCACCACAATTAACTGCAGCAAGAACAATCCTACTATTAAATGTATATTACCTTTTGAAAGCTAAAATCTTGTTAAAACAGGTGTGTAATTGTGTTTTTTGCTTATATGTTGTTGCATGTTGACATTGCTAATATTGGTGCCAAATTTAGTACAAGTCTTGGCAGATTGTTAGATTTTGGAATTGCTATCAACGGTTAGATGCATTTTCTATTGTTTATGATTACTGATATCAACTTCTCTCTCTCTCTCTCTCTCTCTCTCTCTCCCCACAATTGTATACATGTTTTTAAGTTCATGGAACAACAGAGATAAATGGAAAAAGTGCGTTGGAGACAAAGATAGAGAGGTTGAATTACAAGTTAACAAAACTCAGATTCCTAATATAATTGCAGAGACGCATGACACTGCATAGAGAGGGGCATCCTATTTTGGTGAACTAGGTTGATATGGTAGGAAAAGGATTTGAATGTGAGAAAGTGGTTATTGTGAATGAGAATATGAATATCAAGTTTGGCTCAAACGTCCAGATTCATATTTTGGTGAACTCAGATTCCTATTTTGGCTCAAATAGAGGGGCATCCAATTTTGGTGACTCCTTAATGTAATTCAAATGATTTGTGTGTGAATGTTTTCTTTTTTTTTGCACAATGATTGTGGACTATCATTTGATAAGATTTTACTATGTGAATGGGAGTTATTATTTCATATTAGTGTTATTTTTTAGTTTTATTATAGGGTTTTTTTTGGTTTAATAACCTAAAATTAGCACAATTAAAAAAGAAAAAAAAAAGAGGGCTATCACGGCATTTTTAAAAATGTCGTTAAATAGCATCAGAGATACGACGGCGTTTTAAAAACGTCGCTAAATAGCATGGTGACGTCATGTTACCGTTAGTAGAACTTTTAGCGGCGTTTGTCATATAACGACGTTTCTAAAGCGTCACAGAGTTATAGCGACGGCCACATCTTCGGCGTTTGGTGCTAAACATCACAAAAAGATTTAACGGTGTTTTTAAGACCTATTGTGGCGTTTTTTAAACGCCTCTAAAACCTGAATTTCCAGCAGTGTTATGTTTGTATATTTTAATTGTTTGTGCTAATTATATTGTGGACATACCTTTTAGGATGCTGCTACTCGGTTCTTTTGAAGAATAGCCATCCATGTGTTGAAGGAGCAATGCATAATGACGGCCCTGTTTGCTTTGAGGCATTTGACATTATCCATATTTGCTTTGGTTCTTCCTATACTATAATGATTTCAGTGTTTTATGTTTTAGTACATGTCCAGAAGCACATGCTAATCAAAAGCGGTTTCTGCAGTATCTATTTGAGTCGAGAAATGATGTAACCGTCACGCCCTGTGGGCATAATATTCACCAGAGCTGCTTAAAGGAGATGCATGAACATTATCGGTGAGTGTCTAAAGAATTAATTCTCGGGTAAATGGTTTTGAGGAATATATATATATATATATATTTTTTATATATATTAATTTACTTGGTTATTGATTAGATATGCATGTTCTATCTGCTCCAAGTCAGTCTGTGATATGTCGAAGGTGTGGGAGAAATTTGACATGGAGATTGCGGCTACCCCCATGCCCAAACCTTACCAAAACAAGATGTCAATCTCTCTCTCTCTCTCTCTCTCTCTCTCTCTCTCTCAAAATTCATTGGATATTTTGCAGGAGGAGATTTACTAATGTGAATTTGGTGTTACAGGTCCGGATCCTCTGTAATGACTGTGGAACCTAATCAGAAGTGCAGTTTCACATAGAGCTAAAGTATTGTCTTTGGTCTATTTCTTTGGTCTCTCATGTGTCTGTCACCTACCCATATAATGGGGCTGCATGTGTGGAAAGTTTTAGAAGCTTGCCCTATTGGGCTTTCTGACTCCCCTGTGTTCGATTCATATACCGGTATCACCATAATATTAAAAACACAACACGAGATATAACTAAAAAATTTATGAATCATAACTAAAATAATGTCATAATTAAAGAAGAAAATAACATAACTAAAAATATATATGATATATCATTTTAAAGGGGTGTATCTTAGAATTTCCCTAAATTTGTACTCCAATTTAAGGTCAATTAATGATTTTAAATTGAATGCCTCCAAAATTTTAACATGCTATTTGTTATTTGCTTCCCTTTTATTTCTCATCTTTTAGTGATATGTGCATTTTACATGCACTCTGTTTTGTTTCTTGCATGTCATCGCAACTTTGCCCTAAATTGGTGGCTCTTTGTGCTTAATTAAGTGCAAGCTGCACTTTGCTCTGTATAATGTACATGCACTCTATGCCCTTGTTCATCCAACCATGACCATAAACTAGCTCCTCCTGACGGGACATTCTGTTTTAGGGTCCCCAAAAGTTTGTTAATTGTTTATTAATATAGTGTTCTCCTTCTTAACAACTCTATGTTTTTGAATTAAAAGGTGGACGAGAGAAAAATCTTGTATCAGATTGGCGGTAGCTCATGATGGGTAAATCAAAGAGAGCGAAAAATTGCATAATATGTCCATTCAGGATCTTCATTGGAGGTAGTTCAACTAAATTATGTGTATGTTTGTATATATGAATTCATCAAAGTTCATTAAATATATGTTTGTATATATGTCTTTAGGTTAAAAAATTGATGAATACACTGATGAAGATCCTGAATGTTTATTTCAACCAATTCTCAAAATACCACTGTTTATTTCCACATGCTACTTTAAACGAAACATGACATTCACTGTGTTTTTTTAACATTGTGCTACTATGGTTAATCTTAATCAAGTAAATATGTAAAATAGAATTTCACTGTTAAGAAAACTCAATACCAAACTCTAGTAACTACACAAGAAACCAATTGCAGAAATAACATTTGGTAGTTCAGGAGATTTGAATTTTTTCTAAAAACTCAAAAATAAGCTTTAAACTTCTAGCTAGTAGAGAGTTTAATGAAAATTTGAACTTGGTTAGTAGAGTGTTCAATGAATTGTCAAGGCAACTTAAATGTCTCATAATTGTCAATTAACAGTGCTCTTCTTTACAACTTCTCATTTGAAGAATTCTTTTTGCTTGGTAACAGTTCAATGAATGAGGGTCTTGGGTGGTAATGATACAATGTAACTCAAAGCCTTAAATTTGTATGAAAACGAACACCATATAAGATATATCTATTCTGACTTTTACGACGGTTGTCACGGTCGATAGTATGAAAACGGACACCATTACAAATATATCCTGAATATGTGTTCACTAAGCCACTAGGACCATTGGCTAATGACCACATCTCATTAGTTGCTTCGGGAGAAACTTGGCTCCGCAATTCATTCATCTACATGAAGAACATGTGTCATGTTACAAGCATGCACAATATTAACGTAATGTATGATTGATTGTAGGATATGAGAATACTAACTTACATGATCTTTGAACCATTTTGGGAATTCTTTCCGTTGTCTATTTTCGATGTCAAATGCACCGGATCTTTGTTGTAACAAGTTCTTGTGCTCCCTAGTTACAAGAAATGCAATTCAAAAATACTTACTAAGATAAAGACTAATCAATTTACAAAAAAAAGATTCTAAATACGTTTGAAGGATTCATACTCTACGTGTTTGTCCGCTTCAGTGCTATTGTGTAGGACAAACCAATGAGCCATCTCGCGTTCAACTATGGACACATCGGACGCCCTTGTCATTAGACCAAAGGGACGGACATTTTGAGTGAATACCGCCAATCCTGGGCCACGGTCACCCATGTCATAATTCCTTTCTGGGTGGTTAAACAATGTTTCAACTCCATCCAAATACATAGAACAAAATGTTGTACATTCTTTGGAAATGTAAGCCTCGGCAATAGAACCTTCGGGATGAGCTTTGTTGGCCACAAATCCTTTTAGACGACCAAGCAACCTAACGATCAAGCCGATGACAATGTTATACTGCAATCTTTATATCAGCAACAAAGCGTTAATTAAAATTTGACACTAACACGAGGGTTGAGTTAATACGTCTCAATTGGGTACATCCATCGATATTGCACCACGCCTCCAAGCATAGCCTCTCAAGGCAAGTGAATTGCCAAGTGGACCATGACATCAAAAAAAGCCGACAGGAAAATCATCTCAAGCTTACAAAGTATGAGTACGATTTGTTCATCCAATTTCTCCAAATCTAAACGCCTCAATGTCTTTGAACACAACTGTTGGAAGAAATTTCCCAACTCAAAAAGTGTCATCCCAATTTCCTTATTAAGGTAGCCACGCATCCCAATTGGAAGAAGTCGTTGTATAAGGACATAATTGTCATGACTTTTGAGGCTAGATAATTTTCCAGCTTGAGCGGTCACGCAATTGGAGATATTTGCTGCAGAGAACTAATAAATGTCAACTTCCTCCTTTACACCATCTCTCTCCTCCTGCGAATGAAAGGTTGAAGTCATTGCACCTCCAAAAGGGGCATCTTCTATCTTGTGGATTTCCAACCACATCATGTTTTCATCACAGTTCCTGGCAAAAATGAAAAACTGGGCTCATAAGCAAGTAAGAGAAGAAATAGGATAGAGTGAGAAGAACCTGGCTGCAAACCCACAAATCCAATACTACACATTCAACAATCTAGAAAGCAAGAAACACTTCAAAATGGGCGTGGTGTTCGTGTCCGACATGAATGAGACACCAACAGGCCATGGACACAGATGTCTACATGTCAGACATGTCACGTCACGTCAAGTTAAATTTTTTTTAAACCATTATTTTTTTAGGAACACTTCACGGATACGCGTATCCTATGTTTGAACAGACCTAGAACACTTTTGTAGAGACAAACTAATTCCGATATGAAGACACAACCTGCAGTTTTTTTGCAACTAAACAGTACGATAACTTTAATAATTTGTTGTTAACAAAAGTGATACCCAGAGTCTTAATATAGAAACCTCATTTTAACAAATAAAATGGTTAATTACACTTTTCCCCCTAGTTTGATAAAAAAAAAATAACTTTAGTTCCTATAGTTTCAATTTGAACAATTTGTTCCATTCACTTTTAGTTTGGTTTCAATTTGATCCTTCCATCTAAATTTTTGTTAATTTTGTCTCTGTGTACAATTTAGAAAATTGACAAATGTCCCAAAATTCACTACTAAAAAAAATACTTTTTGCGACCGCTATAAACCGTCGCAAATAATAAAAAACAGTCGCAAAAGACTTTTTGCGACGGCCCATGCGACGGCAAATGGGGGTCGCGAATATGGGGGTGGCAAATACTTTTTGCGACGGCAAAGCAACGGTCGCAAATTATTTGCGACCACCTAAACTACTTATAGCGACCCCTATTTTGCCGTCGCAAAAAATAAAGAAAAATACTAACATGATCTTTGGCGACCATCTTGTTACCGTCGCAAAAAATTAAAAATAAAAATAAATAAATAAATAAACAAATTGTGAAACATTAAAGCCCTTTTACCTATCCAGCTGTTTATCAAACAAATTAGACAAATCAAACCCACAGCTAACCTCTAGATATTCTTCCTATTTTCTTCAAATATTAAAGCTTGAACAAAATAAAAACAAAAAATGTCACAATTAAACAATTACTTTTAATATGTGAAACTTTTTTTCATCATATTCCAGTTGGGGTAATATCTGTCAGAACACTTCCAGTATACAATACTACTAATAGAACTTATAAAAGGCGTGTCAATGAAGCACTAGCATTTCAAAGCCCAAATGATGAACTAAAGGTTTAAGATCTAACACGAGGCCTTTAAAGGACTGGGAACATCATTGTGAGAAGACATAAAAATGCAATCAAGTAAAGACAACCAAACATGCAGAACTAAGCTTCTTATGGAGCTCATCCAATTCCGATTGATAGCATGAGAAACCACATGTTTTAACAGCATTAAAATCCACAAGAAAAAATAAAGGTGAATAACCAGTAGCAACAATAATTCTTTGTTCTCACATGATAAAAAAATCTTATTCCAATCTCTAATCAGAGTAAGAGGGGAAGGGGAATGGAGGCAGGATAAGACAAATCATTGCTTACTTCTAATATCCATACTACCCTTGTTTTTTACCGGTCATACCTGCAACCACCTGCAAAGATGCAATCCGAATAATCAAATTAGTTAAAATTACCCGTGCACAAAATTCTTCCATCAGGTACATATATATTTGAAGTAGTACATAAAATGCCCGTAACGTAAAAAATCACTTTCGAAATGTTGAAATGCATAAAAAAAAAACCTTAGGGGTAAAGTACATGGTTTTTATAGGGGAAGAATCCTAGTAATTTTTCTAGGCAAGACATCAAAAAGGAGCCCAAAACTCCAGTTATCAAGGTCTAGAGAAAGCAGCTGGGAAGCACTAGGGTCTACAAAAGGCAGCTATTGGAAGATGCCTAGTGATTTCAATAACATCCTAATCTCATCATACCAGCACCAAATATAATATAAGGCCCACCATTTGATAAGTCATACAGTTAATTAAATTACTAAGAAACATCAGATGGAAGGACTGGAATACTGGCATTGCAAAGTCAGTAATGCACTGGACATTCCTATATAGATTAGCTGTACTATGTCCTGACATGATGTAGGGTGAGTAGAAGACATAAGAAACATCAGATGGAAGGACTGGAATACTGGCATTGCAAAGTCAGTAGAAGACATAAGAAACTAATTGATGCACCTTCACTTTCTCATCTCGAATATGCTCAGGTGTAAGAGAAATAGGCTTCTCCATAGCAATGAGGCAAAGAATCTGCAGTTGGCAAGAATATATGTCTGTTACATCTTAAAAAAAATGATAAACAAATTGGAGGGACTGTTGTGAATAAATTTATATATCTATCATTTTAATATTATCTACTCTAACTTGATTTCAAGTATTCATCCACAAATACATGCGAATTTTTACAAAAACTAGCTCCAAATCATACTACATAACTCACTAGGACAGTCTAGCACTTCAATTGTTGCCATTCCAAAGTATATAGGCTTTTTCACACCACCATTTCCATGTTTAAAAGAAGAGATGACCACTTTTAAGTAGACAGAAGGGATAGACTAACATTTTGGCCCTAAATGGGTTATTTTTATATTTTTGTTTTTTCAAAAACAGTTTTTTGGAAGAAGTTCCCCAAACAAAGAGATGATGGTGTGGGCTACAAAGGGTACTTGCATAGCTTTCTCCTGTGATGAACAGATCCCTATGCATGTATTGGGGGAACTTGAGGAACCATCTTTGCAAGAACACAAGGTTATCCCTGGCTTCACAATTATTAAAATATGAACTTAGCTTTAGAAGAGAGAAAACTTAATTAATAACAACTCAGACAACAATAGAACTCAATTTTCTCTATCCACAAACATGTGTACTTTATAAATTAGCATGAATTCAAGTAATGTAACAGTTAACATTTTAGTGAAAGCTAAACTTGGATAGAATGTAGAAAACCCTTACTTATAAAGGAAAATGATTTGACTTATAAAACTAAGCATATAGTCTTTTTGCTGTTACTTCTAAACAAACACCTATGCTTATATCAGTAAATTGTGTCCTCTATATTAGATTAACAATGAAAATTTAAAGAATGGTGGCTTTGGCTATCTTGCTAAGAAAGAGGTTTTGGGTTCCATTCCCACTGTTTTTGAGACCACCCTAGGATTTATGTCGGGTAATTATTTAGCATGTGTGAGGTGAGGTTTACGAGCGTGTTTGGTGCAAATTTCAACAAGCTGAAACCTCTCCTCTTACTCCCAATAATAAGCTTGGCACATACTTCAAAAAAAATATAATATATATTATATAACCAACTCCATAAACTGCACCAAATAGCTCTTAAAATAAAATAAAATGAAAATTGAAAAAGAAAAAAGAAAAAAAGAAAACACACCATGATAAAACTCCGAACACGCCATGATAAAATAAAATTAAAAAAGAAAAAAGAAGAAGAAGTGAATTACAAGGATGAAACATACCAGTTTGTTGATCAGACACTGCCTCATAGGAGGAGGCATCAGTTGAATAAGAAAAACCCACTCCCACTGGGGTTTCCAAATACAACATGTTTGCTTCTGAAGAATCGCATATTAGAATAAAAACATCAATTTTTTATTTTTTTTTCTACTTTTCCAAGCAGGATTACATAATTTTGATGTGAATCACACATACCTCTGTTCCAGCTATACTCATTTTTAACCAGAACCTGCCTATTTGGCCTAAAAGGTCCATTTTCAGAGAATGCCCCCACTCCCAATGAAGAACACCCAGGCCCTACAATAATACATATTTCAAAATTAAACACATTTAAAATTTAATTTTCTATGTTTATTATTTTATTTTTTAACCTGGTTGAGCTTTAAAATTCAAAGAAATATACAGAGAAATTGCAAACCTCCATTTAACCAGAGAACAAGAGGCTTTGAAAATGGATCAAATTCAGCCTCAACAAAATAGTAGAAGAGAGATTTTTGTTTCTTGTCATCCACAGTGACATAGCCTGAGAACTGTTGAAACCCCACAAAGGGTTGTCCAAGCAACCAAGCAATCTTGTCAGCCTCAGAGAATGGAAAGGACTCAACAACAACAACAACAACAAGACCACCCATCATTAAGAAACAAAGCTCAAGCACTAATAACACAGGCACTGCCATGGCTTTCCAAGTTACTGAATTCAAGACTTGGAGAGGAATGAAGAAGTGGCTTGTACAGAGAGCACTTTGAGTGAACAAAACTGTGGTGGAATGGAAGGGCTAATATTGTTGCTGCTAATATTGTACAGAGAGCACTTTGAGTGAACAAAACTGTGTTAGTTTATTCTTAGCCCTAAAAAAACTAAGGAAGGACAAACACCATATTGCACAAAAATTTTTAAGTTGAAGCACTCAGTTTGCTTTAAAAAATGAGCATCTTCTGCTCTGCCTTGCCCCCTTTGCCTTTCTGGTTAGCTAGGAATTCCAATACAGGAGGCTGTTTAAGAAGGATAGAGGTATATGTTGCTGGTTTCTTCTGAACATGGATGTGATCATACCTTTCTTTAGGATGATATTCTTTTATGACCTTATTCCTTTCTGGAGATTGAGTTCTAGATTTCTATCCAGGTTGAAATTCTAAATCTTCCTGTTGAACTTCTGAATCTTCCTACTTTGCCTTACCCTCTCCTTTGGCCATCCTTACTACTTGTCTTTTTTAGTATGCAAACTTAAATATTTATAGTTTTTCTACTTCATGAAGGCTATACAAATTGACCATAAGAAAAACACGGGAAGAAAAAAAAGAGTGCATCGAAAGAAAAAATTCATCCAAAATCATCCTCTATATAAGAAAACTCCTTTGACTAAGGAAGTATACAACCATGTGACCCCCAACATCTAGCAAAATAAAAGGCCTCACTGAAGGCACAAATGTATTAAAATATCAAAACGGTGACATTACCTTCTTTGTCAATCTCATTCATCTAATTTAAAATCCTACAACTCAGTTATAGATAGTGAGAAAACACGCATCGATTAGTTTGAAATGAAGGCATTGAGGTCGTTGTCTAACCTCAAATCAATGAAATAACTGTCAACATTAAGTCTCTCAGAAGTCCTTATACGCTAGCTGAGTTAGGTTTGGGCTTGACCTGTAATGACAGAAACGAGAGTTAAAAAAATATTAGATCTAGAATTTTTTCTTTCCTAAATAGAACATGTATGATTGATATTCAAAGCACATGTAGCAGCCATGAAATGAACAGCATATTCAACAATTTTGCAGAGAGAAGTAATTTGAACAATTCAAGTGATGAAGTGTTTCCAGTAAGGAGCTTCCAAATTACTCTCAACAAGTCCGGCAGAGGACCGTTAACTGAGTCAAAGAAAGGATGTGAAGACCTTTTTCCATCACAAATTTTCCACCAACTTTCTTACCCAAAAGTAAAAACCCCAATAACAGAGTGATCATTTTCAATAATTAAAGTAAAAAATCCCTAGTACAATACAATACAATACAAACAACAATAACACAACTCAAAATTCGAAATTCAACGAACGAATATTCCACCAAAATTCAGAGGCGGTCACCGAATAACCGCGGTCTCATACATGCATCAATGTCCCCTGTAAACACACCTCCTCAAGATCAACCAACACAAATCTCAAAAGAAACCCCTCAATTTCAAAATCCGCATAGTTTGATCACAAAAAAACAAAAAAATTACCACTAAAACTCACCTCTGTATGTCTAGGCTTCGCCGGAAACCCCTGCTCCTGAATCTCTGCAGAAATGAGAGAGAAGGAAGAAATGAAGTCAGAAGGAAACGCAAACTTCTATGGGCGGAAACGAAAGAAAAGCTTACACAGCGATATAGCTAATGAAAGATTCAGCAGTGTTAGTTAACTCTCATCAAAGACCTCGTGCAAAACGAGTGAGAAAGAAAAATCCACGAAACATCAGTCAACAATCCCTCAGCTATTATTCCATCTTCTATTGATCTATAACACACTCAAAAATCCCCAAATTTGTCAAATTAAAATCAACAGTGACTCAATGCTTAACACAAAAATACACACGCACATACATATATATATATACACATTTCGAGAGTAGAGATTTGAAGCAAAATTGCAAACCAAAGAAATATGAGATTGTCGGAGTCGAAGAGTTCAAGATCTTGAGGAAGTTGAGGACGTCTACTTCGATTCTTGCTCGGACCTCAACAGAATAAATTCAATTTCAAACATTGATATTCACAACATATACATAATATATATAGAGGTACATATACATGTATAGTAGAGGTGCTAATTTGAGAAGATCAAAGGAGAGAGAGCACGAGATTGAGAGAAAGAGAGAAAGCGAGATTGAGGAAGAGAGAGAGAGAGAGAGGAGAGAGAGAGAGAGAGAGAGAGAGGAGAGAGATTTATACCAGTCGTATTACTGTGAGACCGATAGAGAGCGAGAGAAAGAGAACAATCGGTGTTTATGGAGGAGCTAGGGCAAGTATAAAGAAAAAGGGAAAATAAATAGAAGAAAATAAGGGGGTAAATTGATTATTTGCGACGGCTAATCAGATGGTCGCAAATTATATAGTAGCAAAAAGTCAGTTTTCTAGTAGTGATTGTTAATTTTTAATCTTCAATTTAGACAGAATGACCAAATTGAAACTAGACTTGAAGTGTATGGACCAAATTGTTCAAATTAAAATTATCGGGACTAATTAACCCCAAATAAAAACAATATACTAATAACATAGAATAAAAATTTTAAAACCTAATTTTTTGCAGCTGCTTTGTACTTAAATAACTTAAAGGAGGGGAGATTAAATCACAAATGAAATGGACTGACTTGATCACTGAACTCTCTGGAGCAGTTTCTCCACCATAATCTTTTGCTAAACCCCACTCAACGACTCTGAATTCATAATTGCATTTGATATAAGGATGACTGTAGATGGAGCCTCAGCGTTCACCTACATTGATACAAAAATGCCGAGAAAATAAGAAAGCATCAGTACTAGAAAGTGATTTATTTTAAAAATAAGAATCCAAACTATATTTACAAATATTAAAATAGCAAGAATAAATTCTTCTCAAAGAGCTTTTGGCTCAGCCCGCATAGATGACATAAAGCCTAGAGAAAGTAAAGATCACAATACACAAAGGAAACGGGAGAAGAGAACATAATAATGATGATGATGATGATGATAGTCATTAAGGGATTGTTTTACTCATAAAATTTATGCAGTAACGTGGCACTCTCTCACTCACTTTTTAAACTTGAAGTCAATCCAACTTTAAGCTTGACCAAACTAGATTGCAACAACCCTTTATCAACCATCCACTAAACCACCCATCATCAATCCTACCATGTACTTGACGACATAGGATCCGACCTTCTGCAACAGTCATTGGCCATATCAATAGTTGAAAAAATCAAGGGTTTCTCCCAATTAGATGGAGGGGTTCGTGAAGGGAAGGTGGTAGTGCGGAGCTGGTGAAGTAGAGGACTAGGGAGGGTGAGGGAGGCACTAGGGATGGCTCAGGCAGCTGGTGGTGGCAGGGTCGGCTGAGGGGTGGCTGGTAGTGAGGGAGTTTAATTTATTGATAGGGTTAAACCTGGGGTTATTTTTTAATTTCCACAAAAATAAAATAAAATAGTTTTGAAACAAGGAACCTCTTCAACCCAACTACAATAAGGAAGCAACGCAAGTTTCATACCCAAACACGGCCATTTAAACCAACTGCTATCTCAAAGGAGAGCTTCTTCCCAAGACCTTCAAGAACCGGGCATGTTGGGGAGCTGAGCAGCCTAGAAGACAAAAAAACAGACATGTCAGCACAACTGAAAGAAAATCTCAATGCGTAGAATTCAAACAGAGTGGTTCTGTGTTAGAAATACTGAAATATCCATGTATTAAAGGAGAGGGAAAATCTCACATTCGGGCAAGGCCAGTTGATGATTCAAATGTGAAGCCATCTTTAAGGGGACCATACTCCGCTACTTTCCCAGTGGCTACAAAGCATGAATAGTTTTTCAGAAACTATAGGTCAATTGAGAATCTTAAATCGACCGAGAATTTTACAAGTAAAAAGAAGGCAACACATGGAAGCCATATATAGAATGGAGTTGGAAGTCCAGAATGAAAACCAGCCATCAGTGCATGACAACTCGGGATTCATGCCCGTGTTTGCCTTCACAACCCGAACATAGATCAAAGTACCTACCTGCAAGATAGAGGTTAAGCCAACTGAGATGCAATAATATTAAAAGAAAAAAATTACCATTAAGTTCCAATTTTTAGGACAATTTTGCTGAACTACAATGGGTGCATATATTCAGCAGTTCCAAACCACATCCAATGGGAATCCCAGCCTGCCTTTGATTTACTCTTTTTCAGTTTTCACATTCTCAGTGTTGGTCTTAGCACTAAACTAACAATCTGTTGGTCAAATTCACTTTTCCTTAAGCAGGTTTTGCAATCCAATCATGGAACATGAACACAAGATTGAGATGGTCATAGTCATCGTAAGCATCTTCAGGTCATATAACCCAAGTTAACGAGAAAACAGCGGGGCATCAATCAATAATAAATAGAATAGCATAGTGCATTAGTCAAAACATTCTAAATGGTGAAACTTGCACCTCAAACTTGGGTATGTTTCTCCTTGTTCCTCCTTCAAATGAAAGTACATGAAGAAATGCCAATGCAGGCCCTTTTATATCCACAAGGAAGTTCTGAAATGAATAGAGCAAAGAATTGAGTCAAGAGTTCGCGTAGATTTTAAAGATACTAAAGTGAAAAATAAATTGGATACTAGTGATTTTTGTTTTTTAAAACAAACATGATAAGTGAAATATATTGCATCATCAAATATTCCTCTTCAAGGAGGTACATACAACCCAAAACAGGCAAATAGAGATACAAACATTACCAATATTTTAGAGCAATCATACATAAACTCAATAAGAGCACTAAGGATGTCAAAAAATAAACATGTGGTGCAAGAAACATGATGTCTAAACTCTATCATGTTTGGCAAGAACAGTGGCATGCATAACTCTGACACAAATACAAAAAGACCCTTTTTTACAAGTCCTTAAGAAAGGTCTTAAAAACGTAGCCATCCAAACACTATCCCCTCAAAAATCAAGTTTAACATTTTTGTTTTCAACAGAAAAGAAAATATGAAATTGATGCCAGAAGCAACTTCTACAGAGAGAAAAGAAGTTTCTAGCCATAAAAAATAGGAAAATATAACAGCAAGCATCAAGACTTATAGTATTCAGGTACAATTTGAGGTTATATAGTGATTGAAGCTACACATGAGAACAAAATTAACTTTGATTTGACAAGAAAAAAAACCTTGTTCAATTAACTATATGACAAGGTTATGCATTCTAACCAGAGATGTAGAAAGAATCCCCGATACTACCCCACTGTGAAGCACCCCACTGTGAAGCACGGACATGGACACCGACACGGGACACGACAATTTCCAAAAAATGGGGACACAGACTCAGCGGGAGACATGGCGACTTTATTTTTTTTAATATATTTTTATGTGTTATGTAGATTCATGTTACATTCATCCTAAATCAAAATTAACAAACACTAACATAGTAACATTAATTCAATAAATATAACCACTACATTTAAACAAATTAATAGATCATTCATTCACAAAAAAGTCATAATAAACGATAACAAGAACTGAGACGAAAAGGGAAAACATTCAACATCCAACAATATTCTTCACAAAAACACCAAATAAGAGAGGCAAAAAAAGAAGAAAAAAAAAAGTCAACCCTGCTGCATCTCATGCCGTGTCCCGATATGGACACGCATATCCCCACCGTGTCCCCTACAAAGAAAATCATTAAATTAAAGGGACACGCCATCTGGCGTGTCCCGTACGTGTCCCCGGCGTGTCCTCGTGTCGAACACCCCCACGGCACCGATTTTGGAGTGTCCATGCTTCATAGCTACCCCATTAGATAAACTCTCAGACTTTGTGATCTACATATTTATTTGGATCACTCCCCACGACTACAATAGTTCTCATCAACAGTTTGCATGTTTTCAAGGATCCTCAACAAGTAAGATCTGTTCAAATGATCTCAAGTGATTTCTCAGTTTTTCTCCCTCTTGTAACAGAAAACACAAAATAATTGTTGCAGGGTTTGCAGGATAAGCCTCTTTCCGCTTCCGTGGCAGCAGAGGTACAAACAGCCTATGTTTACTGACACCAGGTCTATTTGTTCATCTGATTAACTGAGAAAAGAACCCCTTGAGATGCTCAAGCTTTTAACAGTCACCCTAAAATGGGAATGACAAGTGAATAGAAAGGTAATCTAAATGCATCCTGCACCGAGTTATTAATAGTGAGAATATCCACACGCACATACACCCAAAAAAAAATGAGCTTTGTTGGCACACCAGACTTCCAAATAAATTCCCCTAGAAAATAAGCCATATCCTCACCGATGATCAAAGAGTGCTCAGATTTAATCTTTTCCATTTCTTATACGTTCCCTTGCTCTCAATTTTCTATCCATCCCATTCAACTCGGTCAAAGAGGCCGAGGTCAGAGTCGGCCACAACCTCGGGGTCCATGAAATCAGATTCCCCCTGGGCCCCTCCCATCACTATAGAGGACAAGCCGGTCAGAGTTGGTGATAGCGCGACTGATCTTGAGGTCGGCGTTGCCCTCTCTACGGCTTTGCTCCTTCCAAATGATCTCAATCGTAACGCCGAGATAAGCGAGTATGAAAACTTCGCTTTGATGCTGCAGCATTCCGTTCAAGTAAGTTCCTTACACTTGGTATTTTTCTTTCTCTATTTTACTATACTTAAAGGACTTTTACTAACTTTTGTCCTGTCCATTTTCTTTCAGGAAATCTAGCACGCCCACTCCTTCTCAATGCAAGCTTTTGAAATGAGGAAGGAGTTGGCCGACAAGATCAGAGAGGTTGCTGGTTTGTAGAAAACCATCAAAAAGGCCGAGGCAAAAATGAAGACCTTGTCAGATTAGGCCGCCGCGGCCAAGAAGGATCAGGACAAGGCCGACGCTGTAGAGGCTATTGCCAAGGTCCTTACGGCCAAAAAGAAAGAGGCCGAGGCCAAGATGGTTGAGGCCCAAAAGGAGCTTCAACATGCCCTGGCCACAAAGGAGGCCGAGATCAAGGCCATTGATGAGAAGGCATATGCTGAGAGGGCGGTCGACGTCAAGGAGGACTACAAAAAGCAAATGAATCAGGCATGCAACAAGGGTTTTACCCTGGATTAGATGTCTACCCTCAAAAAGCTTGATGTCTCCAAGGACTCCCCCCTCAAGAATGCTAATGACCTCCCCCTGCCATTCCCCCCTACTCCAAGCCAATCCGAAGACG